GCAAATGTCAAGCTTCGAGAAAAACTATTGTGTTACCTACTATTCATGCTAAACATTGCGCGAGCTTCCATTCAACAAAATTATGTACAATTCGCAGTTGGAAAAAACCTCCGTGTTTTTTGTTTGAAGAAAAGACATCTGCTAACTAATTGTAACTCGTTGGTTCCAGTTAGCACAGTCCGTAATTTCCTAAAGGTTTCGCAAGCAAAACACAAGTGACCGTTCAAAGAAATCTTCTAAAATCTTAATATTTCAATATCTTTTGTAAGATAGTAGTAAGTATTTGACTGATAAATGCGCACCAGTGCTCGAATTTAGCTAGACGTATTCGCACCCGCTGCCCAGCTCGTCTGTAATATGAGTTATCGCAGGAGCAGATGAACAGATAAGTTAGAATCATGTATAATTGTTCCAACTACAGCAAACTCTTTTCCATCGGGCTCTACTACATCGACGGTAAAAATGTAAATGAGAAAGATTAATGAAAATATCACCGTTCGCATTGAAAGAATAGCAATGTGTGCTATCACTCCAGGCATCTTTGTAGTAGCTGTAAACAATGGCGTCAATCCAAAAAAAACTTTGCAGCCACTGAACAAGACAAGTTCTAAAATTCTTTTTGCAAAAAAAGAAATCTGAAGCCTCGAAGCATTTGACAAAGATTTTTCATTGCTTAAAGCGTGGAATCAAATTTTCTTTTGTGATTCTCTTTCATTGAGCTATTACCCCTATATAAAGAAACACGGAAGGGTCACCTAGCATCAACATGGATAGTTATTTCTGGTCCCATTTTACAATCTACCGTGATCACTGATGGAAAAGGGAGTACAATAAAATAAACAAGGGATTCTGAAGAGATTGACGTTAAGCTGATCCTACATTCTTGTGATATACCATAGGCCTCGGGCAGAGTTCAGCGATTTGGTCGCCGCGATTTCGATGGATTGGGCGATCAAACCGCGATCGCAAATGTATGGCCTTAGTTTAGGGTATCACGTGCATTTGCACATCTAACAACTTATCAATTTCTGAGTTCAGAGATTATGTTTGTAATTGTTGTGCATTTGAGTTTGGAGGATGTTATGTTGATCTCATGGTTAGGAGAGTACCGAAGCAAAAACTTTACTTTTCTCACTATTCAAATTTTATAAGCTTTGTATATAAGAAGCTTATAAGAAACGATTGCTTTTTAGTACTGATGGTACTAATGTTTTTGCTGGTTACATCCCATTGTGTTATTAAACCTTTAAAACCGATACAAGGCTGGCAGTCGTTCTCGGGATTCGCTTGTACTATGCATAGGGATATGCTTACATTATTAGAATCGGTGCAATCCTGCTCAGTCGTCAGCTTTTGTTGATCATATTCTCAAATCAGAAAATGGCCAATATTCCGCATACTTACATTCCAAGATCAACATTATAGTAACGACCTGATTAAGTCATGAGATCCGAATGTATACTTCTTTGCCGGCGTTTTCTCCCGTATAATGACCTAGACATGTCGCTTCCTTTCTATCTCTGCTATCGGATTCATCCTGTCATCTTAGCCGTTTTGAAAGAGAACGCAGCTATATAATTTTGTTTGACCAAAGCTACGGAATATGAAGATTGTTCCTAAACAATTAGCTTCGCATGACTTAACAGCTAAATTTTGGCCAACCTCATTAACTTTCTCTTTTCTTTTTTGTTCATCAGCCGTGTCGATCACAATCAAATCCACATCATTGCGAGGAAAGACGTATTAACCAAAGTACACCTGAATTTACCGACTTTGACACAATCTTCTGGCAAACTTTGCAGGAGAAACAAGGTACCTTGATATCGCCGGCATAATTGCCTTTACCAAAGCAGCCGGTCAATTTGTCTTCAAACACGCCTTGGGCTGCTGCAGTGCAACAACAACTCCGTCTCGTACAAGAAGTTGTTCATGATCGTCACCTTCATTCGCTAAAGAATATCTTGGCTAGCTTCTAGATCTTCAGACTGGGAGCCTATAAAATAAAACTCATGCAACAGCAGTTCATTAACACTTAAACTACTGATTGGAATTTACTATTGATAACAGCAGATGTCTTTACACTCTCGCGGATTTGGCTATAATTCGTATATAATTCGAGAGACTTTTCGCGGTGTTCCCGACATCTCTAACACAGGCTTGATTTTATAGAAAGAAACTTCGGTGCTATTCGGCTGTCCGGGCCCCAAAATTTTTTCGTCATGGATTGTGCTAAAACTTAACTCAGGGGTTTTCGGCCAGCTGATTAAAGATATCCTATTGGTTCTGTATGGTAGTGCCATTTTTTGGGGGTCACGGTGGGTACACGGCAGGGGGTCAAAATCGTGGATTTGCCTGGAACTTGGCACAGAGGGGGGGGGGTAATTTGACATGCTAATCATGGATATCTCGTTTTACCTCACGAAGACGTTTTCCTGCGGATATGGTAGGTAGCGGTAGGGTGTACGGTGCCCGACAAATCTTCTTTTCCTGCGTTTACTTAGACAAAGCCGCCGCAGAATGCGTCGCGTGTGACATGGCCCTGTATGAAAGGCATGACGGTGGGGCAAGTCGGTCTATACCCAACACCAAAAGCAAAGTTGGCAAGTTTGTCATTTTTGCCCCCTACCGTAAATCTACAGTAACTTCATAAAAAGGCCTCATCATGCGAAAAGAGTATGATTTTCAGGCGCAGCAACCCCAAATTTGAAAACCACGGATTTCGATGAAAACTCGCCCAGGGGGTCATTCGACCTGCTGATTACGAAAATGATGTCCATTTCGCGTGGGTTTTTTTTGAGGGGTTACGGTAGGCATACGGTATGAGGACAAAGCCTCAGAATTCGCAAAAACTTTAAATTCTGAGGTTTTGAAGGAGAGGGGGGCGGGGGTTATTCGACACGCTGATCACGAATATCACACTTTCCCGCACGAAAACCTCTCCTTGTATGATTACGGTATGTGTGCGGAGGAATCAAAACCTAGATTTAGCTGGAATTTGGTCTCGAGGGGTTATTTAGCATGCTGAACATGGATATCATATTGATTTTGTACGGTAGCGCCATTTTCCCGAGTCACGGTAGGTACACGGTACACGGGTGAAAATTTCATAATTGCTCAAAAGTTGTTTAGAGGGATTTTCAAGCATGCTGATAACGAATATCACTCTTGCTCGCTGGCAATTTGGCGCTTAGAAAAGCCTCTTTCCCGCTTTTTAGCTCAATCAAGTTCTAAAATCCACGAAGAGTTCAAGCAAAATGAGCGCGGTATTCGTGATGAGTACATCAGATAACACCCCTGCACAAAGTTTTAGGCAGATCTACGGTTTTGACCCCTTACCATATACCTACCGTGACTGTACAAGGAGAAGTTCTCGTGCGGGAAAAGAGTGGTACTTGCGATCAACATGAAAAATAACCCCACTACGCAAAGTTTTAGCTTCTGAGATCCTGACTCCATACCATAATCCTACTGTAACCCCACCATAAGGCGTTTTCGAGAGGAATGAGTATGATATTGGTGGTCAGTATGTCGAATAACCCCCCTACGCAAAGTTTTAGCGAAATATGAGATTTTAGCACCATACCTTATGCCTACCGTGACCCCTCAAAGAAAGCCTCACCATGCAAATTAGATATCATTTTCGTGATCAGGAAAGAGGTCGAGTAACCCCTTTGAGCGAATTTCCAGCCAAATCCGTGATTTTCAATTTTTGGGTTGTAATAAGTGGAATAGTACCGATTTTCGTGATTAGCTTACGAATAGATCCCCTAAGCCAAGTTTCAGCAAAATCCATGGTTTTGACTTCCTACTGTGTACTGACCGTAGCCCCAGAAAATGATAGCCACCGTACGAAATAATCATAATATTCGGCATCAGCGGGTTGAACAATCCCCCTACACCGATTTTGAAAGAAATCCACGATATTGGCACGATACCGTATACACACCGTAACCGCACACGGAGGCGTCCTCGCGCGGGAAAAACGTGTATTCGTGATCAGCATCCTACTATAATAACGCGCTAAGAGTGTTTACGTGTTTTTGTGTGTGTGTGTGTGTGTCTGAATGTCTGTCTGTCACGAAATTCGTAGAGCGTGTTCCAGCCAACGTCCTGGGCTCAAATTTTGCGTAGCACTTGCTACTGGCATAAAAGTCCAACATGCGAAAGCACGAGCAGATTCGTTGGGTGGGTCTCTTGAAAATTGCGCGTCAAACGGATCCACTTTGCATTTGGCCCACAAAATTGGGTCCGTAATTCCATTTTTTGCAGAGTGGTGGATGTTTATGGCAAGTAAATGTGCAAGCCATGAACTTAGGCCCAAATAAGTGACCAAAAGTCCATTGCTTTACAAAAACGGCGCCAAAAAGTATTGCTTGCGTAAATGGTCACTTTGCCAAGGTTCTAGAAAAGCATTTGAGAAGATTTTCGCACAGAGATGTAGCTCATGGTGACTATTGCCTTTATGGCGACTATCAAACCATGACAAATTCAAAAACCTATTCAAATTTGCCTTTGTCTTCCTGCGAAAAGTTTTCTCCATGCGAAATCACCAATCTCACGTGAGAAAGCTTTCTAAATGAGTAATTGTTTACATTTCATTCGTGGTAGTCGGCATAGCACGGTGAGTTCCAGTGCCACGATTTTACGAGAATGAGTAAGGCACATAAATAGTAGAGCCAGTGCGAGCCTCTGCGAAGCAGAGGTGACGCACTGGTGTCATATAAGCCCTTTGAGCCAAGTTTTAGCGAAACCCATGACAAAAGAAATTTGGGGCCCGCATACCCGAACAGCGCCGAATCTATCAAAACGAGTGGCACGCAGTCACGATCGAGCAAAATGTGGATCAAATGAGGCAATTTCTGGAGATCACACTTTTTTTGAACTCATAGTAAGACGAACAAAGATTGACTGTACTCTCAGCACACTCCATATAAAACTGGGTTATATCAGACTCTGTTGTTCTGCAGACTTTCAAGAAGAAAGTATACATGCGGTCGATGTCAATAACGTGCTCCCTTTTCGGTGTCGTCTACGACAGGCAGCGCGTCGACACGATCTACGATTGAACGCTCAAGCGATACATCCGCGAATGCGGCACAGAGTTCTACCGCTACGCTTAAGGTGATCAGCAAGGGAGCACACGTTGACAGACTGTATGCGTTTGAATTCCTGTAAACTATAACTACGCTCACAATTGAAAGTAAGATATGGAGTCGATTTTTCACTTGCTCGAAAATGCAGTAGATATAATGAAAAGGATGGCACCAACTCCGGTGAGAAACTATCGCATTTTGAACATGGTCTGGCAGCGACATCCTGCCCTCGCAAATGTTCCTACCAACTTTTCTTTAAATTAATCTGTGTCATCTGTTCTGAGAAAAGGATTGAATAAAACCAAAATTCTGAGAATGGAAATCATGGATAAAAAAATAAAAGCACAGAGGCGTTCATTTTAACACCTCTGTGCAGCTTTTGGCTTCAAAGGCGAAAGGGGCATAACAATTACAATGAGATCACACTTTTTCTTTTCTTCCAGGGCAAGCTCGCAAATAATTTCCAAAACCATTTCCCTGTTTCTTCTCCTTCTCTCCCCCATTCTTAAAAAGATTCTGAACCGCAAGGACGAGACAAATACCAAAAAAGCTTCTGTATATCCTCAAATCATTTGTAACTCAATATGCATATTGCACAATACGCGCGCTATATGACGAACTCGTAAGAATAGAACCTGCCATTTCCAGTAATTTCTTTATGTTTCCTCGTCTTTTCAATTTGTTTGGATCTGTATCAGTTAATAGTACATACTTCTACAGTTCATTATGCAGCAAAAGGTTTATTGAGAAGTTACTGACGAAGTTGTCATTGTTCGCCGCGCGTAGTGTGCAAGCTCACATGAACATACATTATAGTGTCTGCCTTAGTCACGTATGATGCAATAGTGGGCAAGACCATAGGGCCCCTTTTAGCAGCTGTCTCACCTCGGATCCTACTTCCCTCCCCCCCCCCCCCCTTCCCTCCCATCAAGAAGTTTGAATTTGTCCTTTACTTGAGAGTAAAGGATATGTGGTCTTACATCTGCAGTAGAAGCCCCTGATGATATTGATATAAGCTGTTCACAATTTAAGAAATTGATGTTCTTCATCTAAATCACGTGCAATTCCCTTTGCTTCCTCATGATTCTTTCTTTCTTCTTTTTCTATGCCTTTATAAGAATTACTGTCAGTGGATCTTGTTGATTCAAATGCCAAACTTTATTGCATAGATCACTAATATTAACGCGCTGACGCAAACTAATCAGTTCAAGTTGAAAAAGACGTAGGTCTGAGCATCATTCTGGTTGAGACAGGATGAATGATGTTATCTGTTCCACCTATGATCCAAAACATTCCTGGAAGTAGGGGATCACAAATCAGTTATCAAAGAAATTGCTTCGAAAGGCAGCGCTCTGCTTGTGAAACAAAGCAGAGCATCACTTACCGTATCCATTTGCTTCAGTAAAATCGTAATCACCATTCAATGACGAGAGGGCACAGTTGCGTAACCACCATCCTCTTAAAGTTTACTTTTTACTACAAAAGAAGAGCAGCCTCTACCGTCATCTATTCCAACAATCATGGGCTTTCTGTTAGGTTGTAACAAAGTAACAAAGTAATGCATCGAACTTTGCAATTCCAATAAAAGTTGATATTTCAAAATATTGGGTTGAACCGAAAGTTCTGTCGCACCATTTTCAAAAAATCATAACTTTTTTCGATCACGACGATTTTGCGCAATTCAAATTTTGCCTGAAAGCGTAAAGCATGTGGTTTCCAAAAGCTCCCTGCGGAGTTTTTGACATGCTCAGGTGGCAGAGATAAAAATGGAAGAACGCGATCATCCGAAATTCGGAATTTTTAAGCAAGAATTCTAGAGATTCAGAAACTGTGCGATAAAATCCAGAAAGATCATTATCCTAATTTTTCTTACATTTGATTACTATCTGAGTCAAGTTTGTGCTGATCGAGGTCTTCTTTCAGAAGTTAGAATTTTTGGAAAAAAAATGCCAAAAAGTCCATTTCTTAAGAATTCTTAGGAAATTGATTTTTCGGCATTATTTTTCAAAAAATCATAACTTTTGAAAGAAAGGCTCGATCAGCACAAACTTGACTCAGATGGTAATCAAATGTATGAAAAATTAGGATAATGACTTTTCTGGATTTTATCGCACTGTTTCTGAATTTGTAGAATTCTTGCTTAAAAATTCCGAATTTCGGATGATCTCGTTCTTTCATTTTTATCTCTGCCATCTGAGCATGTCGGAAACTCCCCAGGGAGCTTTTGGAAACTACATGCTTTTCGCTTTCAGACAAAATTTGAACTGCGCAAAATCGTCATGACCGAAAGAAGTTATGATTTTTTAAAAATGGTGCGACAGAACTTTCGGTTCAACCTAATATAATGTCTTTTTCAGTGGATCGTTGCCGATCCTACAAATTTTGTAGGTATCAGCCTTAGACCATAACAATTTTTCCTTAAAATCCTACTTTGACAGATTATAAAGTTCTTCCGAGATGTAATTAGCTGGCCTAATTAGCTAGAAGGGACTTTCCAAAATTTTTCGCAAACTAAAAAGACTATAGACTCCAATCAAAAAGTTAACCTCTAAATTTTCGTTTTCTTTGCAATTAGTGAAAAAAGTACGGAGTTCTTTATTTTTCATACAGGTAGTGCGGTCAGTTTAACAATAGTCACAAATTGTGACAGTCTTGATGTCGCTCTTATAGGATTGAGAAATTATCATCCTGTTGTCTCCGATGTTTGTTGAGTGTTGTGACTGTTTTTTGTTTGTTTTGATTATTTGTTTTTTTTTTCAAGAAAAAAAATTATGTCATGGAGTGTATCATGTTCGATTATTACTGCGAATGTTACATGGATTCCTTGCTGTGTAACTCGGAGACTTCTTCAACACCAGTTTAAAGTTTCAAAAGAGCCTTTTCAGGCGAATGAGTTTAGATAGAAATAATGCAGGAGAGTAAATCCTCAAGTTGAGTTTTCTAGCACACATTTAGAAAAACAGCCGCTAAGCTCACAAAATCAGCACTTTTGCAACAACCTAAAATAAAATGCCACAAACTCACCCCATTTTATATTGCCACACACAATTCGACTGAGGATCATTGATATGATCCACTGCAGAGAAATTTGCGCCAACAGAATATATCAGAGAGTTCCTAAATTAAAGTGGCCACATTAGTTTATCAGTCGTTGGCAAATTAATAAAAAATCGTGGTACCATATACTTGTGCCCTTCCCCTGGTTGTCCAGATACAAGTCTGTCAGTTGAAACTTGGACGATTTTCCTGCTACCTAAGTTTACAGTTTGATTGACCGTATGCAAGAAGCGAATACACAAATTCTATTGCAAAAGTTGGAACCTATGAACCGGCTCCAGGACGGATTCTTGGGAAAAATAGCTTTCACAGTGACTACATAATATTAGGGCTTTTATTCTTTGTTTTTTGAAAGCTTTTTCTTTGTTTCATTTCAGATTGAGTAATTCTAAAATGTCTGTTGTGCTTATCGAGCATTTGTGCGCTAGACCGTCAGCGACAATCTAAGTGTCAGGTTTTCTCTTCTCCTGTTGATATCCCGTTTTGAAAAAAACTCAATACGCAAAATGACAATCCAGGGCGAACTAAACAAATGTAAAGGTGCCTTTTCCTGCAGCCATCTGCATTCCAGTCAAAAATCTCTTTCAAAGCACACTGGAAAGGAGAAGAAATGCTACGTTAAAAGCATCTTATTATTGCTTTTCTGCAAACAGTGCTTCGTCCAGGTGGGCACTTTTGGAGGGACTAAATACATAGGGCTTGATGTCCCATCAATTCTTTTCCTAATATAAATATGTGTACAACCAAAATAAAGATCATATTAGGTTTAAAAAATAAGTTCGGTTTTCTTTAACGGCTTGTAGAAAAGTTACATATCAATCTAGGAATGTAGAAAAGTCTCAAAAATATCTGCTATCTCAATTGTCGTAGAGAGCTTTGAAATTGGATGTCAGAACGAATTTATGTGGTAGCCAATGTAATATTTCTGCTCTGAATCGACCAAAATTTTGTATACATAACTATTAGAGAAAGTGCTAGTATAGGCTACTTCGTCTAAATCACAATTTATTTTTTCTAGCAAACGGTAAGCTGCAGGGCTGGGATTGGGCTCAGCGTCCTGATAATGAAAGTATAATGATTTTCCTCGAACCGATAGGGCAGCTTATATGCTGATCACAAACATGATAAAAATATACAAACATCAAATGTCTCGCACAGGCACACACGGATAATCAAGAACATTACAGAAGTATCACTAATGGGTTAGCATCGACTAATTTACTAATCATTTATGTCGTGGTTTTGGCATTAGTGTCGCGGATTCGCGACTTCCTTCAAAGGAGGCCGCCGCCGCGGTGCGAAGGGGTCCTGAAACGCCGTCCTCGCGCTGTTCCGCCTCTCACCTCTCTTACCTGCGCAGCTTTCGCATAAGTCTTCGCAGCTGCCGTCACAGTGAGCGGTCGGGTTCCAATTGTCTCTCGTCATCGATCGATCCAGCGCCACCCCAACTTACGCGTCAATTCCAACTACGCCACGGAGGACTGGCACCCCGCGCTACGAGGTAACCCCGAGCGCGCTCGCGCCTGGCACATGCCGGCGACACCGCCTCGGGGGGTTTTCGATACTGCTGGCCCCTAGGGATGTTAAGATCTTGGCTGGTTGTGCTCCACCCCATTGTGTTTGAGTTTAGGGATTGGTTGTGGATAAATGGTTGGCATTTACTCGTGTGATTTGTTTGGAGCGGTGGGCCACAGCTTGGCTGTGGCTCCGGGGATACCTCATGCCATCATTATTGTTGTGTATTTATAATCACGCCTGGTACAATCCATCCATCAAGGCTGGCACAATACTAGTTACGTGCCATGGTTATATATACATGCCCCAACTGTCGATGGTTGGGAGGATAGTTCGGATCGCAGGTGCCGAGTAACTGCTAAGCAGGCTAGTGGCAAGGGCCTCTAGGTGTGTATGGACCCCCATGTGGCAGGCGCATATAGCATTTCTCGCAGGTAGCCACCACATGGTACGTTCCATTATTTCACGGAGCGGACCCCTGGCTCCCCTCGCCGATGCAGGAGAGCCATTGTACCACTGACGTTGGGAGCTGGGGGCCCAATCCGCGACATGGTGCATCGTACCGGAGTTGAGCATAGGGATAGTAAACCTATGTTCAGCTTTTGTGATCGAGCCTCACCTGTGTTAGCCCACATGCACACGCTTTGCACATAAGTGTCCCTCGCTAGCAGTGCAAATCTCTTCCCCTTTCTTTATTTTGCATGATTGCACAGTGTATACATGCTTGTTGCTCCTTGTGCTCCATGAGAGGACTCATCCTTCGTTTCATCAGCAAGCTCCGTAGCGACTAGGCTGACGCGAATACGCGACTACCCACAGTTCCACTTAGCTGGGAGTAGGGTGGTCCCGTAGACCTGGATGGCAGCAGCAATCTACGCCCTGCCTACTGCCCGGAATTGTTTGGTGCCTTCTGACGGCCAGGTTTCTCTGCAGCCATGGAGATCCCAGGTAGATAGCTCTGTCTGCCCTGAAACATGCCATCATTCTGGTGGCCAGGTTTCTCTGCAGCCATCGAGGTCCCTGGTGGATAGCTCTGTCTGCCCTGAAACACGCTATCAGGCCGACGAAAGAGCCCTGTTTGTTGGGTTAAACTTACCTTCTGCGCATTCATGCTCGCATTGTGCATTCATGCCCTTTCTTGTAACTTGTGGCTAGGCTTAACTAGTTGACGACTCCCTGCGATCGATACTGCTCTCGATTATCGGCAACTATTCCCCATAGTAACATCTGGGAGTTTCAGTCGTTGTTTGTTGCTCATCGTTTCATTCATTTCGCTCGTGTATTATGTTCACCATTTGTGTGACTACGTCGCGAAGTAGTCACACCCCACCGTAAAATCCTACATTCCAAAGGTCACCAAAGCCATCGAGGATCTGGAAGTGGTTAGGAGACAAGTAAGTTCCGATTTGTTTACCCCGTATGTGTCTGACGCCCCAGCTTCTGAGCAACTCCATCAGCTCCAGCAACGTCAGACAGCCACACAGCTTCACATAGTGAGTCTGAGATCCGCACTTTCGCTTTTGCGTGAACGTCGCGATGTACTTTTGTACCACATTACCATCTCCAGTTCGCCGACGGATCAGCAAGCGTACAGCAGGTTCGAAGAAGAGCATAGCGTGGATTAACATCAGGCCAACGCTGAAGCACTTCTTCGCACTTTGCAGAAAACGCAGGAAGCGGATAGTGAACAAGTCCAGTCTCTTCGTATCCATCGACTCGCTAATTCCATCAGTGAGGATGTCACTACGGGGACGACAAGAACAGTGACGACGCCGCAGAGACATGATCGCACAGATGTCCCACAAGCCATTTCACAGCAGCTTCGTTCTGCCCACAGACACTCATTCACACCTTACGTTATCACACTTGTACTATATCTGTTTACTTTCAGCAACCTCCTTCTTTCTCGTGGTCACGGACGTTCGAAGCTATGTTCAGGCTAGCCAGTTCCACCTTATTGCTTCGTCGCCCCTCACCCCGAGCATGGATTGCCATGGCCCATTCTCGAAGTGAGCTAGCAAGTTTGAGGAAGAAGAGAGGAGCATAAGACCAAGCTCCCGCAGGTAGGTTTGAAAGTTTGGATCCCCAATTTACGGTTCTTTTTTTCTTTATTTCCTTTTTTATTTCTTTTATTTTCTTGTTGGTAAGAGCCTTGGGCTCGCCCTTTTCCATTGTTGTTGACTTTGATCCAGGATCGGCAGCAGTGATCCCCACTTTACGCTGACACATGTGACTATAGCCGCAACTTCCGACTTTTGGGGTCACGGTGGGAGACCGTGTTAACTTTTTGGTTTTTGGGATTTCCCCTTCTTTTGCAACTTTGACTTGGCCCTGGGTTCTTGTGCTTGGTGAGGAAAATCTCCCCCTCACAAAAAATTTATTCCCCCTGGCGTGAAAAAATGCGCCCGTAGGCAAAATTAAAACTTTTTGTCTTCATCGTCACTTCAACGTCATCCATGTCGAGCCGCTGTCTACGTCAACGCCGAGTTCCATGGTCGTCGTTCAAGCTGTCGATACCGCACCTGTCGAGTCAATCGCCGTTAATGGTCTCCTCAACTTCCGTTCAACGCAACTATCGTCTCCACAACCGTCGAAGCCCGCCAGTATCCAGAGTAGAGCCCCCGACGACTCTTCACGCCTACCCCCGAGAACAACCGGCTGTTACCACGACAAATTGTAGGTCCCGCGTTCCACCTAGGGATCTTTGACTCGTAGGTTTGTTTGTATGTTTGACTCGTAGAGTCGTAGGTAACATGGCAGATCGGAAACTACCTCGGACCCCTTCGTTTTTCTTCTTGTTGCCCGGAGTGTCGCGGATTCGCGACTTCCTTCAAAGGAGGCCGCCGCCGCGGTGCGAAGGGGTCCTGAAACGCCGTCCTCGCGCTGTTCCGCCTCTCACCTCTCTTACCTGCGCAGCTTTCGCATAAGTCTTCGCAGCTGCCGTCACAGTGAGCGGTCGGGTTCCAATCGTCTCTCGTCATCGATCGATCCAGCGCCACCCCAACTTACGCGTCAATTCCAACTACGCCACGGAGGACTGGCACCCCGCGCTACGAGGTAACCCCGAGCGCGCTCGCGCCTGGCACATGCCGGCGACACCGCCTCGGGGGGTTTTCGATACTGCTGGCCCCTAGGGATGTTAAGATCTTGGCTGGTTGTGCTCCACCCCATTGTGTTTGAGTTTAGGGATTGGTTGTGGACAAATGGTTGGCATTTACTCGTGTGATTTGTTTGGAGCGGTGGGCCACAGCTTGGCTGTGGCTCCGGGGATACCTCATGCCATCATTATTGTTGTGTATTTATAATCACGCCTGGTACAATCCATCCATCAAGGCTGGCACAATACTAGTTACGTGCCATGGTTATATATACATGCCCCAACTGTCGATGGTTGGGAGGATAGTTCGGATCGCAGGTGCCGAGTAACTGCTAAGCAGGCTAGTGGCAAGGGCCTCTAGGTGTGTGGAGTCCCCATGTGGCAGGCGCAATAGCATTTACACAGGTAGCCACCTCACATGATACGCTTCACTTATCACGGAGCGGACCCCTGGCTCCCCTCGCCGATGCAGGAGAGCCGTAACACCACTGACGTTGGGAGCTGGGGGCTCAATCCGCGACAATTAGAGCAGAGGTACTATCAGAAGTGGATTCAGGTGGTGAATGACAATATAATTTATTGACAAAGGGGGGGGGGGAGCTGGATATGTTAGCTTGCAATTGTGGTTAGCTTTATTAGTGAAATAACCTCAATTTACAAACCTTGAATCTCGTGTACTCATTGGACCAAGACGACAATGCTTTGGAAGATCCTGGAGTCCGATCTCCCATCATTTCAACTCTCAATGTTACATCTTTGTCTTTTTCTGTCAGCTGATGTAATAACTCGAGTCCTAACCAGAAGTTGGAAACCTGCAATTACTTGCTGTACTTCAATCTTTCAAGACTGTTTGAAAGATTACATTAGTCATTCGTTCTGTGTTAAAGCCATTTTTGTAGTCGTCCCATGATCTGTCCCAAAAGGATCCGTTATTGTTTACACGACTGAAATCAGTCAAACACTTTATGAAAATTTCCCGGTCCCAACTTAGATCACCCAAAGAGGGATATGCTAAGTTCAAGACATATAAATGCATCTGTAATGTCAAATTTGGACGGATTGAGCCTACTTAGGTTCGAAGGAATCGCTCTTCGGAGAGTTATCCTCCGGCAATTTTCTTTCAAATATGAAACTTAACAATTTTGAAAGCAGATTCAGCATAAAAGCTCAAAAATCTCCAAGTTAAGTGCAGTGAATCCAAGAGAATTACTTTTGGAAGACTGTCCATCCACCGCCATTATCCATGCTGCAATAAACATTGTGCGAAGTTCCATTGAGCGAGATGCTGTATACTCCGCTGCTGAAAAGTTGAACCTCAAATGTTAAATTCAAAATCGATAACATACGCTCACTCTTTGTAACCCGCTTTGTACCAGTCAGCACAGTCTGTCATTTCCTGAGGTACTTCACATGCGAAGCAGGGTACAGAATAATCAGAATAATCAGATTTCCAGAATCCTCGATAGATGTGAAGTTTTTACAACATATAATGAGTTCATGATCAATAATGCATCGTACCTGTATTCGAATCCACATAGACATACCAATAGCCTCCACTGGTCGGGTAACCTACAATGTTGGTTATCACAGAAACAGATAAACAGAGCCAAACAGTATGAGGTAGTTACAGCAACATCCTCTTCAATATTCCGCCGTGTTCTGCTTTTCTGCATATGATAAATTACGAGCGACTGCAAAAGGGTACCGTTTCCCCAGAAAGAGTAGTCGAAACGTGTGCCATCACTCCAGATACCTTGGTAGCTTGAAGTTTTCCCGCCAATCCAGATGGTACTGCAGTTACTGGACAAGCCCAGCTCTAAATACTGAAATCATCAACAAAAAGAACTGGTATGTGGAAGCTTTGAGCAGATATTCACACTGGTTGACTCAAACTACTAACTGCAAACTTATAGCGGTTCACAAAATGCGGCACAAGGTAACCGAGTACGATTCTTTCTCTTGGTTTCTCCTCTCTAAGGGCTGCTTGCAATACTTTGGCTGGGGAGGGAAACGCAGATTGAAAGACAGCTTAGCATTTGAAAGCTTCAGATATATGGATATCACGGTTTGTTGAACCATAAGTATTCCTTCTACCCTTCACTGTAAACATAACGAATAGGAGCGAGAAGGTGTATATGTGTTACGGATTTTTGTATGATCACTTAGAGATCCTCGGCAACTACTCTTTTTTTTGAAAGCACTTCTCTTTCTTCGAAGTCAATAAAATCATCCCAAGTTGGACATGATCTAACCCAACGGCTCTAAGCATGTTTCTGATAAGAATCGATGGCTTATCAATTTATTGAAGTCTTCTATAATCGCCAATCTTCGACTCTTGATTTATTGCAAGTTACACGCATTCGATGCATCATCTCTTTTCAATACATGCTTAGTAAGAAATGGTCAGAACTTAGGCAAGCCATACCAAACATGCCTATATATCATTGGACTCGCCTTTGAACGCTGATCACAAACATATGTTTGTTATCTGCCATGCAATTATCTGAAATGAGTCATGAGAGTTTGAATGTGCGATTTGTCAGTTCTGTGGCGCATGTTCCACGAAATGCGTTTTTAAAAACACTTATTTAGGTTTTTGGCAAATGTGCTTTTTCCCTATAATTGAATTAATCATAGCCACTGTAAATCCGCGTCATCAGGCTGCCTCGATACGTAAAAGGATATATATATAAGTCGAAACTAGAAAATTTTCTTATTTTGAACGTTCATAACTCCTTCCAGATAGACGTTTGACAGATAGCAAACATATACGCTTAAATCTCACAGATATGTCCTCTCATCATATAAGTCGGTCTACAGATAAGTCCGCCTTCAGATAAGTCCGCTTTTTTGACCAGATAAGGCCCTTCAGATAGGTCCGCCCTACAGATAAGTCCGTTTTCTTTCCATTAAAACTACCCTGAAATCTTGTCAGATAAGTGTGTATCTGTAGACGGACTTATCTTATGGGGGATCTATCTGCAAGATTCCTGGCATTGCGAGGATGTTTTCATCAATTTTTCTTGTCAAAAAGCGGAGTATCTGTAATTTTAGAGTGCTTGAAATTAGCGTTTCAAGATGAGTCCGACGATATACAACTTGTTTTGGATGCTTGGGTTAAGTTCTGACCATTTCGTCTTTAGCATTGCTGGATCAGACAAGCAATACAACTTCGGAGTGTTTTCTTTATTAGGCTGCTGCATAAGTTCTGTCCGATTTTATTTTGCTTTATGTTTGAAGTAGCTATTCTAAAAGATTTTCATCTCTGATGCGATACTGTTATTATCATTAGAAAGCGCTTTCCTTGCCCTTTTTAATGCATATCAAATTTCAATAAATTTCTTAGTGTAAAGAGATTTTAGACCTAAAATCCACAAGTGGCCGAGGTACATTCTCACCTTAAAATAAAGGAAACGTCTTGCTAGTAAGATTTATTGTCGAACATCATTTTTTTTTGTATAGATGTTTTACAAGCAATAACTTTCTGTGAATGGAAGTAATGATGCGGTCAGAGTTGGAAGTGCTAGGGTGAAGTAAGAGCTAGCATGGCCCATCCACCAATTCCTTTTTAGCGCTCACGTCGTTGTAAAATTTTCATGATTTAAATAAGCATGCACGCATGCGCTGAAGCGAAGCCAAAAAGTGGCTTCTTTTTTGCTCGTTCAAAAAATCTCTCGGGCAAATCTCATGGGCTCTTTTTTGCTGCGAAAATATCTACGGAAATTTTTGTAACTATCCGTTGTTAGATAAGATGCCTATCAACTCTCGTAAGGGGACATTGCCATGTCAAAAAAGGCAGGTTTGAAGAAAAACGCTGTATAGTTTTTGAGTTCTTTCTTCTTCCTTAACAAGGATTTTCGCAGTTTCCAATATGCATTTGATAGCCAAGGAACTGCTTAACACATAGAAACTATGGTCTTGGAAAAAGTTGACTCTAAAAGAAGTTATGACATTTTGAACTCAAAAAGTTCAAATCGGACAAAACTTATGCAGTAGCCTAATAATTTCGGAGAAAGGAAAATCTTAAAAAATGACTGTTGGCCGTCAAAGATCAGCTGGGGATCATACAAAAAGCTGGAGCATGCAGCTTACCATTTGATTCAACTGGCTTGGCTTCGGCAAAGGCGGGGCTTTTGACCCAATTAAGGCTAGGTAATGATCAGAGAGCACTTGCGCGAGAGAGACGCAGGTGCGTCGCGGGCGCGAGGGGCCTCAGTCAAATCACAAAACCCCTCCTTAACGGAGCCAAGCCAGTTGAATCAAAGGTTACTACTCGTTTCTTTTTCATATCATTGCAATGAAGAATAGTATTGTAGAAGCACTTGTGGATAGTTAGACACATGAAATCCAATCCACTGGAGCTTCAGGACATGAAGCTTTCTTCTAAGGGCCGCATGCGCTAACACCGCTGAGGAGGGGACCGCAGCTTAAGAGGAAGCTTCATATCCTGAAGCTTCAAATATGTGGACACGTTTTCTACCTATCCGTAAGTGCTTCCACCATCCTTCATCAAGAACATATCGAGCGGAAGCAGGAAATTGTACAAGCCGCATTTTCCAGCTTTTTGTACGATTTGCTGATGATTCCCATGGTCGATCATCTTTCCTTCAAAGTCACTTTTTTCCTTCGAAGTAACGAAAATTTACCAAAGTTGTACTGATTATCTAACACAACAGTGCTAAGCATATTGCTGATAAGAAAAACGAGTTTTTGAAATATCGATTTTTCTGTACTTCAGCTTTCGACTTGTGATTCATAGCAAATTTCATGACTTCGAAACATCACTTGTTCCTACCAGAAACATGAACTCTAAATGACAGTTGGCAGCTAAGGGTCATCGGAGGATCATAAAGAAAACTGGAAATTGCAGCCTTTAGCTTCTTGCCCCTTTCTATGTGTTCAGGATAATAGGAATACTTACGGATAAGTAGACAACGCAAGATCCAGATATCTGGAGCTTCAGCATATGAAGCTTTCTTTTAAGCTGCGACCCCCACTCCAGCTTGTGCATGCCGCCCTAAGCTGCGTTTCCTTCCCTAGCGGGATTTCAATGCGATCGGGCTTAGGACCTCCAATCCGTGAGGAGAAAGTAAGAGCGCATCACGGTCATCAGTCAGTCAGGTCAGTCATCTATGAATAAATACGTCCATTTTCAATCCAGGTGTCCCGCTTTTGTAAGAAGGAAGTGATACGGTAAAAATTTCCCCTTCTATCATAGTAGCTGTAAGTTGAGAGGCCGCGCTTGTGCAGTCGTCATTACCATACTGCATTTGTACTCCACAGAAACAAGGTTTTCAGACTTGCAAGTTTCGTCAATGGATCAGAGAGTGCCGCGGAGGCTTATACGACTGATTTCGAAAGAACAAAATAAATCATGCGTCTTGCCTAATTCTCTTGAATAATAGCCACCATCAATACACGAATTCCTGCCTGTCTTGCTACCGAGTCAAGCACTCGGAGCATCAAAGTTATTTATACGATAACAAAAATAAAGATTGTATTTAGAGCTGCGATATCACGCCTATAAATGTATTTGCTAAGCGCAAGAACCAAACATCCTAAGTGGCTTCTCCATCTTTTTTTTGAACGGATGAGCATGTGCCATTGCCGAGTGCGTTAGTTAAACAAAGTTTTCGGCATGCTGCTGTCAATGTAGTTGGAGGTGATTCAACGCTACCCTTGCATGCTGCGGTGGACATATTGTGGCCAGAGTTGAGCACGTTCATCTTCATTATCTTCATAAGTTTTCTGACAAAGAAAGAATACTTGGTGACCCTGCTCATTCACAGTGAGGTAGGTATCAATGGAAGCAAATTTAAATGCTGGCTTGAAAAGTGCCTTCCATTCTGGAAACGATTACCTGGAGCGTAGTTATGATTTTTTTCAAATAAAATGAACTGTCCGAGCGCTAAAATACATCAAATCAAAATTCTCTTGCTTTTTCGACTGATAGCTTTGGAATTGGTCTAAGTACCATAGTTCTCTTCCTGAGATTTTATTTTATAGCATCAAGCAGCAAATCGCTTTTCATTAAAACAAGTTCATAACTTTCATCAAAAGGTCGTTCCGCAAAGAGCGAGGCCAGTTTGGAATCAGCGTTACGCGTCGAGTCTCGCGGTGTACTTTCCTTTTCGAATGGCCACAGTTGATAATTATTCTTTCTTCATAAGTCATATAAACTGTTTGTCATATGAGCTTTGTTACACCACAAAGTTCTACCGCAGTAAGGCATAGGGCTCTCGTTTTCAATCAATTTTCATTTTTTTACGATTTTTTGAGCGCAGTTCTGATCCTTCGATTTTTCAAGCATTCGAATCCCTTTAGTTTTTGGATTCGAACTTCACATCTATGAAAGTTGGTGCAAAACGTTAAACACCATCTTGTGGGTGTTACTTTGTTCTATCTGATGGTACCTCGCCTA